TGATGGATGAATGGATGGATGGATAAGTTCTTATTTTTACCTCTGGGGATTTATGCATTTTATCCTGTGTTTTGCTTTTTTTGTTTTGTTTTAGCTGTTTTCAAGTGCTTTATAACTAAAGTGGTACAGTAAAAAAACACTGTGTAAAACTGCCTGTGAGTTTCCATTTTCAAGTACAAACTATGACCGTATTCTTCTTCCCGTCAGCTGATTGGATTGCAATTTAACAATCCAGTCAGAGAACACATGCAGTAGGTTCGACTGTCGGGGTGACGCTTTACAGAGCTGCAGGTCCCAGAAGTAGCGTTACATTATGGTCTAGTGCAGGGGTGTCAAACTCACTTACAAAAGGGGGCCAAAATTAAAACCTTTTTCAAACTAAGGGCCGGTTTCAGAATCTACATTAACTCAAGTTAGATACCCAACATTGTTTCTTGGTTGCAGGTTCCTCAACAAGAGTTTGATTGGTCTCATTTGATGACTCGGGACCCGAAGGTCCTGCGTTCAATCCCCGGTCATTGCATCTTGTGGTGTCACTGAGCAAGACACCCAATCCCAAATTGCTCCCTAGGCGCTTACATAGCTGCCCACTGCTCCACCTGGGCGTATCCCAGTGCGATAGGTTAAATGTAGAGAGCCAGTTTCGTCTTTGTATGGGAGCATACAATGACAACAACACATAGCACTTTGTAAAAATTGTTTTTGTCTTGAATTGAATTTACCATGTCCTGGATGACTCAGAATCTTCACCAGCTATTAATGACACAGTCCCCCCACCTTTATTCTGCTCGCTGCTTGAAGAAACCATCAAACCAGCTGCACCGTCCCAGGGAAATGCAGCTAATTTGACCATTAAAGTGCATTTATTAAGTAAAAGTTCAACTGAGACACACCTTTTGCTATAATTTCGAGCAAATAAATAATTGTTTTAGGTGCTTTTCTTGTTAAATTTCAAAGAAACTAGCAGTGTTCCTCCTTCCTTTTTTCCCTCCCTCTGCACGCTCCCGGAGCACCGAGGCAATACATACTTTTCAAATGCAACTGATTTGACCGTTAAAGTAATTTCATTAAACAAATGTTAGACTGAGACACACCTTTGATATAAAGTCGAGAAAACAAATAATTGTTTTTAGGTGTTTACCTTGTTAAATTTCGAAGAAATGAACAGTGGCTTGTCCTTCTGCGTGTGCTCGTTTACGAAAATCAGGTTTTGAAACGCTGCTGATCTGACCATCTTTACTTTAATACAAACAGATTTTACAGAGGAACTATTTATGACGACATACAGCAACTTTGTAGTTAGTTTATAATAGTAATTAATCACGAAGAGGATCGCCAAAGTGAGTAAATTCATCGAAGTAAATGACACGCGGGAGACGTCTGACACACGTTGAATGCATCACTCTGCTTCAGCACAGCAGAGTTCTGCTCCGCCTCTTTGGTTCCGATGGAACAGATTCATTTCTGCGAGCTCACCTCTGAATGGTACATGTACACTTTAGCGGCTTAGAAATCACAAGTTGTGGTTCATCAACCATTTTGAGTTGTGTTCACCTACAATCAGGGCTTAATTTGTAAACCGATCGATACCTGAACGCAAATAGCGGGCGGGCTGATGGGTCTGGGGGTCCTCCCCTGGAAAATTTTTGAATAAAGATGTTATTTCTTGCATTTTGGGGTATTTTAATGGGCTATTAAACATCTACGTTTACCTGTAAACACTCTGCTTCTGTCAAGCATCCTAACCCCCGCTCCCCCTTACTTGACGGTTCCAAGCCTGACACTGTCCCTGCTCGTTATTGTCCAACTCCACGTGTGAAACCTCCAGGCACCTCCTCCGCCTGGGCTCCTGCCCTCGTACGACTGCCTGGTTAGCTCGGCCCTCACCCCCACCACTCTTTTAATGGCGGAGATTTTTTTAAGGGTAGACGCGGAAATGCTTCTTGAAGAGGCAGCTCGTATGCTCGTAAGTGGCTGTTGTGTTTAAAATTAGTGTTTATGTAATTATTTCCAGTTTACATATCCAATATGTTTTATTTGTTCAAGGCATATTTGTTCATAACTTTATTATTAGTAGGCCTGAGAGTTACCAGATTCAAGCAATTACCGAAACGTACCGTCTAAGAGAGTTCCTGGCTCATGTTCCTGCAGGATCCGGCTCAAATTAAGAACTGCTTACAATGTTGTCACATTAGTCTTACAGTATCAGCGACGGCAGTGTATGATAAAAGTTGGTGCTTTAGCGTCAGCTTCCGCTAAATTTTTATTTTACTTAAGCGGAAAAAAAAAATTGTTTACCGGATTAGAGTTAGCAAAGCTAATTCTTTAGTTCGTGAATTAGTGGTTAGCAAATCAAACTTTTTAATTTCCTGTGCCCAGCCCTGGTCATTTGTTTAAACTGTGAGTTCTACCCATACCAAGAAATGCTTTCATCATAAGCTACGCAAAGACGCCATCATGTCCATATATTTTTCCTTGTTAAACACAGGTAACTTGAGTAACAACTTACATACTGGATTTAAACGGTGGCACAGTTGGTAGTGCTGTTGCCTCTCAGTGAGAAGGTCGCCGGTTCAAATCCCAGCCCAGGACCTTTCTGGATGGAGTTTGTATGTTCTCTCCGTGCATGCGCGGGTTTTCTCCGGGTACTCCTGTTTCCTCCCACAGACCAAAAACATGCATGTTAGGCTGATTGGTAACTCTAAACTGTACCTACAGTAGGTGTGAGCGAGAGAGTGAATGTTTGTCTCATTTGTCTCCATGTGATGGACTGGAGACATGTCCAGGGAGTCCCCCACCTCTCACACATTGATTGCTGGACATGGGCGCCCGTGATCCAAAAAGGAGGAAGTGGGTAAAGGTGATGGATTTAAAAGGTAATTACTCTTAAATCACACTACAGGATCTAGGGTAGGGAATTAGTTTAGACTTTATTGTCCGATCATGTATACAAAGTATCCGTCTTTAATCCTCCAGCATTCAGCTGGTTTTAATACAAGACATCCTTTATTGCTGGTGCTAAATTACAACAAATGGCTCACATTGATTTTAATAATAAAAACTGTTCATTCTGTGTTTCATAGTTAATTCAAAGTTGCTGAATCAGTTGTTTTCAAACAGCAATTTGTTCATGTAATCTAGCTCAAAATACTTCTATGAGCAATCATTAAATTAAGGCAAACAATAGGTTCACAACATGATATGAACAAACTGTAAAAATAAATGTGAAAGTAACTTTTGGTTTTGAATAAGCTCTTTGATTTATGTTAATTTTCTCAAACACTGCCTTACGACGAAACAATTCAAAAATATAGTTGTAACTGACGGTGTGCAGTTCTGAATGACATTTCTTCAAGAATTTAATTAGTCTCCAAGTCTAATCGCAGATTAGATTCAATTATGATTGAACTTAATTCAAAATTTATTTCATCTTCAGCTTGAACTGAACACATGTGAAAACACAGAAAAACGAATCTGTTACAACGAGCATGACTTGATTACATTTTTTTGGTCACATGTAGAAAACTTGCTAGAAACAAACAGTCAAACACAGCCATTCATTTTCTTTTCACTTTATTTTAATAACCAAAACTCCCTACTACCACAGTCTGTTGTATTAAAAAAAAAAATCTTAAAAATTGTGAAAAAACAAACAAACCCCACAACAAAATAGTTTGAACATATAAAAACTGGATGCTTTGTTTACAGCTAGACCTGTTTGTGACAGACAATTGAACATGATGTGTTTAACACGGACATGGGCTCCACAACAAACAGAAAACTTGAGACTAGTTTGCAAACGGCATTTGCAAGGAAGTCTTTAAAATGTCTCGTAAAGTTTGTGGAGCTTCAATTTCTATGCGCAAGTCACAGAAGCTTGCCAACTGGTCGATACAACTTTGAACATGTCCAAAAAAATCTGGTCAGCTTTTCTCTCGAAATGCAAAGTTGTCAAAGACCTTTAATTCTAGAGTGCTGGCGTTGTTTTGACATCTGCAACGGAGCTCTTTATTACAGAAACACCCAAGATACAGCTTCTAATGTTCAAGTCTAAACGTAGTTACTGTATATTTAAAAAAAACAACTAGTTTAACTCTGCCAGTCTTCGTATATTTGTGTGTTTCATTAGACTAAATCATAAATATGGAGGCAGTTGTTACGGCAGATACAATGAGATGAAAGACGCAATGTGGGCGGGCGGGAAACAAAATACAGTAGTCCCTCGTTTATCACGGTGGATCCGAACCCTGAAGCCCTGTGATAAGTGAAAAACTGTGAAGTAGGGATTGTAGTGCAAGTAGTAAGTAGTAGTTTATTTTAGTGTGTATATATATATATATATATATATACACACTAAACCACGAGGTGCAGGGAACTTTGGAAAATGAAAACACCAAGAGATAAGGAAAGCCTGTCATGGTTGACCAGCATATAGAAATGGGTGCTGCCCAATGTCAAAGCAAAGTTCATCGAGTATTTTACCAAATAACATCATAAATCCACATTCAATGAGGCTGCAGTGTCAGAGGGACAGAATACAGGTGTGAAAATGTGATGTGACCAAGCTGTTTGTAGACATTCACAATGAAACTAAGGTGAAGGCAGCTATGAGCGCATGAGAAGATGATGTAATAACAGGAAGTACCATGTGAGATCAATAAATATTAGTTGCTGCAAGAGAGCAGAAGCTTGTTGTTGGCGAACTACGGAGGGTTATTTTGCTCGCTGCTTAGTTTATTTAAAGCTGCAAAATGGGATATCATTCGGCCTCAGGGAATTCTGGGAATGCGTCATTTCCTTTAATTGTTCATGATACAATTGTCTTTTTTAAACGACAACAGAAAAGTGAGTAACATCTCATAAAAAAAACAGTGATAAACAATAACCGTGCACGGAACAAAAAGAAGTGCTGCAAATTTGCAGCGATGCAAAAATCACGTTCACACAGACAGACATCTGCTAGAAGTTTTACATGATCCCAAATCAACTTTGTGCTCATCGTTGCATGAATTTCACAAGCCAATCGGTTCCTTTCTTTACACTTGGTGATAAATGGCATACGAAATTATGAAACTGGGACCCCGAGTACATCATTTCATTCCGTCTCAAGTACCGCATGTGACGTGAATGACAATAAACTTGACTTGAAATAAAAACGTATCACATTGACAGGTCGGCAAAATGCAATAAAACAAATTAGACGTAAAAGTAAGCAAACATGCACATTTTTTAGGGAAGGTGAGGTGGAGGGAGGAGTTGTGTTGGAGTATTAAAAAGCTTTATAAAAGTAGTTCAAATACAAACGTGTCAGTCACCACTCAATATGCGCTCGATGTCTTCCAGTCTCTTTAATGCAGCAGCCCTTTTTTCTTCTATGCCTTTAATCTCTTTAGCGGACCTGCTCTTGGCCTGGCTACAGTCTACAGATCCTGATTTGTCCGCCCCCCAACACCTTGGGCGTTCAGCTGAGGATTTCCGCACATTCTTCTCATCTGCAGCACCCTTTCCAACAGCATCAGTACCCCTCCCTTCCTCCTTACCCACAGCGATTTCTTCTGCTCTTTCCTTCCCGCTCTGTAGCTTCTCTTCCTTTGTTGACACGCTGGCTCCCTCTCCTACAGAAAGCAGCTGCCCTGCTGCGCTCAGTGCTGCCATTTTACTACGCACAATACTCAAATGACGCCGCACGTACTCCTCATTTGGTGCCAGGACCAGTGTTTCCTCAAGGCAGCGCTCCGCCCGTGGTAGGTCACGCTCTTCAAAGTAAACCACACACAGGTTATGTTTGCCTTGGACATTAGTGGGGTCCATTTGCAAAATGCGCTCAAAGCAAGCCTTGGCACCATGGGTATCCTTCTTGTGGTTCATGAGGATGTCGCCTTTCAAGACCAAACCTTTGATGTGCTCTGGGTGGTAGAGCAGCAGCTCATCCAACACGGGCAGTGCATCCATCTCTCGTTTGGACTGAGAGTACAGTAAGGCCAGGTTAAACAGGGCACTGCGGAAGCCAGCCTGCAGACCAATGGCTTTACGCATCCAATGCTCAGCTGCCAAGTTTTCATTGGCATCCATGGCTAGCATGCCGAGGTTGAAATAACCGTTAGCATCGTTTGGCTCTTCTTCCAGGTAAGTGAGGAAACGGCGGTTAGCTTCAGGCCAGAATCTTGGCTCCCCTGTCAAAGGAAGCAGACAAAAAGAAGCATGAAGACAAATCTTTTTTACTTATTAAGTACAGTACTCCCTCGCTACTTCGTGGTTTGTTTTTAGCGGACTCGCCCTATCGCGGTTTCTCAAAGTAAGATTGGACACGACACACAATTCGCTGATTGACGGATGAGCCGCATGATCAACATGGAATTTTTATTTAAAATAATTTAGTTTAAATGATTTAGCACCTGGGTGCAGCCCACAGCTGTGGGAGAAGCTCCCTCCTGCAGCTGAGCTCTGCAGCGGAGAAGTGGGCGTGGCCGAGAGTGCTGGCAGGTAGCAGGGAGCTGAAATCATGACATTCTGGGCTCTTTTAGAAAGTTAGAGTTTAGAAACATTGTTTTGAATATTGCAAGAGTCAGGGAAAAGTTTAAAACACCTTTATA